TCACCCAAATACCTCCTATTGCATGCTTGTGCCCCAGTGCCTGATGTGCCTACCGGATGAACATTTAAATGACATCACATACATTATCACACACACATCCCTTGACCAGTGATGGTGTTCAGCCAGTTCTATCCAGTTCGGGCAAACCGGTAGCGGTGGGGCCGGGAGGCTCCACCCACCCACCCAGACATAATCACATCCCATTTTTTATGCTCTGTGCATGCATGGAAGGTCCTGCGCGTGCTCACATTTGCGAGCCAGTAGTGAAGGTAAGTAAATACGACCCCTGCCCTTGACCATGTTTGCAAATACACATGATTACAATTCTCCTCTTCCCAGCCAGAAATGTATAGGCAATTTTTCTGAGGATAATGGGATTAGTAGCTCAAAACATCACGAGCACTTGAGATTGGAGAAGGTTGAGATAATGTAGGTAGGGCAAAATTCATGCACTTTCATTACATTTGCTTCTGATAATTTAAGTACAGTCTTTTTAGGGTCAGGGGCCCACTGGTGTTGATCCACTGCATAGCATTTGAGAAGACGTTTGCCTTCTGGGATGTTTCTGGGATATTTTGTCATTTTTTCCAAGAAAGCCTGTCATTGATATTCCCTGCAAGTCTGCCACTGATGTATAATAAACAAGGGACAAGCCTGATTATCTCTCTTCATTTAGCTTTTATTCTTTTTTCTCTCTGTGTCTTTTTCTTCTTACCCCTCTCTCCCCCCCACTTCCCCCTCTCTCTCTCGTTGATTTATTGCTCAGCTTCTGTTTTATTCGTTCATATATAAGTGCAAATTGTGTTACGAGTTCCTCCACTAGATGGTGATCTAAAACCATCAATCAGACAGCAACATTGATTCACCGGAAATTAATGCTAATACGGTATTGGCTGACTGAATCACATTCATTATCAGGAATGTATAGGGAATTCAGGAAAGGATAAAAGACAGAACAGAGTGGAATGGACACTTTTAAAATGATGCCAGAAACAGCTGAATATTTAGTGATCGATGTGGGCATTTTAAGAACAGTAATTATTTCAGTTCAGCTCTCTCTCCCCCCTCTCTGTCTCTCACACACACACAATCTAGTGGAAATATCAGGCCGCCTAGACTGATACTGAAGCTACTACACGTGATGCAGTCAAGAGATTAAGATTAATGATAAACTAGTGTAAAAAGTTAGCACCCACACCTCTCCTAGAAGAATGAAATGTTTTTAGAAATATTAAAAAGGCAAATATTATATTTCCCCAAAGGAAGAATGGAGAAACATTCTCTTGGAGACCGAAAGCAGCCCCCACCTTTCTTAATAGCCCTCAGGAGATGTCAGCACTTAAGAGATAAAGAGCTTGTTGGAAACTAGATAGCTCTATTCATAAGCAAATACTCTCCCCAAGAGCCAAACCAGGACAAATAGGCATAATAGGAATTGCCCAACACCCTTTCAAAACACAAGCCTGTTCATTGCATCATCTCAGCAGTCCAAACTTCAACCAAACTTAGCTCAGACAAACGCCTAGGATTTGTACTGAGCTAGGAAATAAAAAAGAGCCTGCTTTTTCCATCAGCCAAAGCATGAATAAACACAGGGACACAGAGCCCTGCAGCTGGAAGTGCCCTGCAACAGGCTCCTGGAGCTCTGCAAATTGCTAACTCCCCACCCCCACCCCCTGTCCTATTCCATGTGGACAATTGCATAGAGGAAGGCTTGCTTTGTTTTCTAATGGAAAGCACTTTTCAGAATCACCTTAATCTGCCTTTAGCCTCCCACAGTGGCAAGTTGGTACTGAGGTAGAAGTTCCATTGTGAGGAAAGTTTTCAATAAAGGATAAGCAGCCCGTTGTAGAACTGAGATTACAGGAGAGTGTGGGGAAAAAAACTTAGGTTCTGGGCTTGTCCTATCTCGCCTCCACTACAATGACAGACTGCCTGTGATTTCTTGTATTTATTATTTATTTGCTTTATTTATATCCCATATAAATAATATTTATTTATATAAATATAATAATATATTTATTATTTTTATGAACAATTCAAGGTGGCAAACATATCTAATGCTATTTTCCTTACAACTACAGCCCTGTGAGGTGAGGTAGCCTATGACTGGCCTAAAGTCACCCAGCCGGCTTTCATGCCCATGATAGGACTAGATTTCACAGTCTCCTGGTAAGGCTAAAAACTCTGATGCAACAAGGTCCAAATTTCCTCTGGAACCATGTTTTTATATCCTTTCCTAACTAAACAAAATAAAGTTTGTATTTTGTAAAACAGTCTGCAACGTCCACTTTTCAGAAAAACCCAAGATTAATGGCCTATATGGTGTGGGACAGGGGTGAAATCCAGCAGGTTCTGACAGTTTCTGGAGAACCGGTAGCAGAAATTTTGAGTAGTTCAGAGAACGGGCAAATACCACCTCTGGCTGGCCCCAGAGTGGGGTGGGAATGGAGATTTTGTAATATCCTTCCCCCAGGAGTGGGGAGGGAATGGGGATTTTGCTGTATCCTTCCCCTGGAGTGGGGTAGGAATGGAGATTTTGCAGTATCTTTCCCCTGCCATGCCCACCAAGCCACACCACGCCCACCAAGCCACGCCCACAGAACCGGTAGTAAAAAAATTTGGATTCCACCACTGGTGTGGGACCCAATATACAGTATAAACAATAACTGCATACTTATTGTTTAGTCTGGGTGAAAAATTATATTTTTTTTAAAAAAAGGAATAAAAGCCTACTTTACAGCCTCCCAATTCATTCAAATTCAGTGGTACCCATAGACTAAAGAGACTGAATGAAATAAGATTCTGATGGCCTTTGTAAGGGCTTTAAAATGTGGCTTTTCCCTCAAGCATTAGGTCAGGAAGCTATGTGTTGTTCCTGTTATGTTTCAGTTTTTGTTGATGTTCTACTGTTAATTTTAACAAGAAGAACATGATGGGGACACAAATTTAGGTGGATGTACGACCAAATCTAGCGTCGCTTTCTTCTGCCTGTCATCATCGTCGTCGACTTTTAAACGCATACTGTATATTACATCTTTCATCCCAATTAAAGTAATAATGTGAACCAATATTACAAGTATCCATACTCTACAGCTGTCCACCATGTTGGATTGAAAAGCAGAAAGATGCTTCCAATTACACTAGCTGGTACTTTTAAAAACAAAGCTGGCTTTTCCTGTAATTGTGTTACAGCTATAGAAGGCAGACTTGTAATCCTGGTAGCCAATGCATCTACTTCAAGGAGTTACAGATAGGAACTGTATCTTCTCCCATACTCCCCAAAGCAGGGGTGAAATCCAGCAGGTTCTGACAGGTTCTGGAGAACCGGTAGCGGAAATTTTGAGTAGTTCGGAGAACCGGCAAATACCACCTCTGGCTGGTTCCAGAGTGGGGCGGGAATGGAGATTTTGCAATATCCTTCCCTCAGGAGTGGGGAGGGAATGGAGATTTTGCAGTATCCTTCCCTCAGGAGTGGGGAGGGAATGGAGATTTTGCAATATCTTTCCCTCAGGAGTGGGGAGGGAATGGAGATTTTGCAGTATCCTTCCCTTGCCATGTCCACCAAGCCACACCATGCCCACCAAGCCACACCCACAGAACCCGTAGTAAAAAAATTTGAATTTCACCACTGCTCCAAAGTATCTTTGGGCTCATGAATCCAAAGGCTGTCCTGCAGTAATTTCTGTATTTGGGAACTGTTCTGGATTTGTCAGTAACTCCTCAGCTTTGCATTCTCAGCGATAGAGATAGATACAGGCAGTCCTGTAGCGATCATTTGAAGTTGTGATGGGCCTCCCTATGGTTACTTACAACCCAGATTCGAAGTTCTGATGGTTGGTCCCCTCCCTGCAGTCATGTGACCGCACTTCTGGCACTCAGCAATAGGGCTTCATTTCTGGCTGTTTGCAGCATCCTACGCTCACATGACTTTTACAATGGTTTTGCTGAAAACCAGCATTTACTTCCAGTCTTTGGCAAAAACCACACCCATAGCGAACTACTGATCTGCTTAACAAATCAGCTCCTCCCGCCCTCCCCATGCATGTGCGTGTGACTCCCCCCCGCACATGCATGTACGACCCCCATTCATGCACGTGTGTCTCCCGCATGCACCCCACCCCCGCGCATCTGGCCGGTGGGAGGCGCATACGCACGCTCATGTGCACTGGAGCTGAGCTGGGCGACATCTCATGTGCCCATAGAGAGGGCTCTGCGTGCCAGTTTTGGCACGCATGCCATAGGTTCGCCATCACGGCTCTAGACCTAAATTGGATCCCACAACATTATCCTTGGACAAGTATATTCGCTTTCATTCGTGTGATAATACTCTTCAGATATTATCATAGCCTGAGATGTTGACATCTTGGAAGTCTCTGGTACTCTCCACAAAAGGTCATTGTCAGAGACACTGCCTTTCATAACCCAATATTGTAACACATAGAAATACGATATGGATATTTGTTGGTGGTGGTGATGGTGGTGAAATCTGGTTGTCTAATCCATTTGGATCTTCTATAGATTATAATTGCTTTACTGTGGCATTGGAGATTTTTTAGATAGCATGTGTGTGTGTGTGTGTGTGTGTGTGTGTGTGTGTGTGTATGTATTGATTCAGTATACTGCTATGTAGACTCCTTGCATGCCAGCTCAATACAATGACAATTTTTTTTAAAGGATATCCAGTCCAACGCTAAGAGAAATTAATTCTAAAATCAACTTGAAAAGAATTGATGCAAGTTTCCTTTTAATTGCATTCATGTTTCCTTGCATCAGAGTGCATTTTCCATGTCTAGCACCACTAAAACTGTGTTATTAAAGTCTTACAGAGTTTGGGGTGGGGGGGTGGAATCAATGCACAAAACATACAAGTTTCCTTCATTTGAAATTAATTTTGGGGTGACAAATTATATCCACTGACTCTATTGGTGTCTTTTCTCTTGGAAAACAATAATCGTATATCAATGTATACCTGACATACAGTACAAAATAAACAAGGCTTTGGTTATCATGCATAACTCTATATTTGATTCCCAGAAGAAAGGTATATTTTTCTGTTTATCCAAATGTGTGGCAAAGCACATAGAGAACAAACAGTAGGATATTCATAACATGCTGATCAGAAGGATCATTCCTATCAGAACACCTAAGAGTATACATAATTTCACGACAAAACTAATGAAAACAAAAATATATGATATGATAAAACTTCATTCTGAGCTATCTGTGGTCCAGCTGCAGAGAAATACATTGTCCAGTTGTAGAGGAATTAAGACTTATGATAGTAACAGGTGCTGCAATGACAGTCAGTGTGATTCTCAATCTTCGTAATTCCATCATTTGGAATGAAAACCTGGGGAAGGAAACTTTAAAATCAGATTAAATGCAATTTAATAGCCACAGTGAGGTTAAGAACTATTTTCGCATTTAAAGAAAAACTTTCTTTCATCAGGCTTTATGTGGACTGGTCACCCTTGGAATAATTGCCTGTGCTGGGGGTAGGTGACCTACAGGCCTAAGTGCTGTTGAACTACAATATTCACCACATCTTTTTAATACTCACCATCTTAACAGGATTGCTGGAAACTGTAGTAGCACAATAGTTCCTTTAGTTCCCTACATATGCTACTATTATAGTATTTATTTATTTATTTATTTATTTATTTATTTATTTATTTATTTATTTTATTTATTTATTTATTTATTTATTTATTTATTTATTTATTTATTTTTTATTTATTTATTTATTTATTTATTTATTTATTTATTTATTTATTTGAATTTCTATACCGCCCTTCTCCTTTCGGACTCAGGGCAGTGAACAGCCAGATAAAAAACATCTATACAAACATCACAGTTAAAAAATAAAGTTAAAATAATTTATAAATTTGGCCCATAATTTAAAACTTGTCAATTTAAAATAAATTTTAAAATTTTAAAACTAACCCTAAAATATATAGGGTTATATACAATACAAATATATTGTACATGATCTATTTTTCTATATAATCATTGAGCAGCATGATGGCTTAGAGGTGAAGACACTCGCCTCCCACTCAGAAGATTCAGAGTTCAATCCTAGGCAGTGGCAGATGTTTCTCTATCAGAGATCAAAGAAAAAATATTTGCTGTGAACTCTGGATAGGTGTCAGTTCAGGTTCAGTTGCCCTGACTTTACCCTGAATAAAGGGATTAAAGAGTCAAAAAAGGAAAAAAACCTCTATATAATCATTAGTTTGTACAGTTACATAATGCATTGCAATTAAAGGTAGAAGACCTTTCCCCAAAGCAGAAAGAGGGGAGTGCATGGGATTGCATCAGGTGACAAAGATTTGCAGTAGACGGACTCCTAAAGTCAGGAGGAAGAAGAATTACCCTAACATCTAACAGTTGGCTTCCATCTCTTGAACAACAGCTCTTTACCTCCTCAGCCAACATACTCCAGTCAGTTAAAGCCCATCAGCCCACAGACATAGACCCATTGATTATAAAATTATTCTCAGGTTAGAAGTCACCAGTCTGGTATGAAATAGCATGAAGCTGTCTTAGGAGACAAGGGCTATGCACCGAACTGACACAGAACTTGAATCAATACATAGGAATATAATGCTCATCTTGAGCAGTTAATTTCTGGATGCTGGTTTTTTTCTGTTTTGAATAACTTGGGCAGATTTTGGCTAGAAGGGAAGAGGAAGGTATACATCAGGGGTGAAATTTACTTACCTTCCCTACAGGTTCGCAAATGTGTGTGCGCTTGTGCTTGCTTCGCTCGCACATGCCGTCTTCCGTGCATGAGCAGAGGCTTAAAATGTCGCAAAAAAGCAATGTCATGACGTCCACGCGGGTGGACGGAGCCTCCCACAGCCTCCGCTACCAGTTCGCCCGAGCCAGATAGAACCAGCTGAATTTCACCCCTGGTATACATACTGTTCCTTTATAGAAAATGGGGAGTAAGGATTGGCAGTGAGAGGCCTGCCCTTTCAGAAAGCATCAGGGCCCAGCTTTTCATTTAACCCTCTCCTCATTCAGGCCATTTTAGACTCTGTTCCTAATGGTTATACATCTTCCGGGGGTGGGCTTCTTTCAGGGTAACGGCATATAGGTAGACTTCCAACTGTTGCGGTATATTTTAGTCTGGACAGCATATTATGGTTTTAGTTGGCTTCTAATTTATAGTATTGCTTTCTTTGGGGTTTGTATTTGTAGTTGACTTTTTGCACATTGCCCATAATCATTTTACTTGACTGAGACAGCCATATAAATGTTATGAATCAATCAATCAATAGTCCTCCTGTTCATTCTATTAAGGGAGATTCTGGATAAATGTTCCCAAGTCATATGTCTGATAACAGACATTAAACATAATGTTCAGAATTCATTCCAATAAAATATTTATAGCTGATATTTTGGCAGAATTCTGGTTTCTCCCTACATGAAAACACAAACCCAGAGCTGATATCCAAACACAGATTGAAAACAAAGCATGTTCATTTGTCTTCTGCTTACGGTCCCTTCCTGTCATACTCTTCTGCCTCTTCTTTGCAGTTGCTCCATATGGAAACTAGGCTGAAGAGGAAGGGTAAACAAAACTGTAACCCACCGTTCATCGCCAAGCCTAGTCCCTTTACCTCTTTGAAGGCTCTTGCCACACAGCATTTCGCTTCGGAAGTGATGTTCTTTGGCACGGGCATGGACTTTTTTGACCTCATGGGAGTTGGGTAGGCTCTTGAGAAACAACATCCTGCACATTGGTACACAGGCCTGCCGCTGAACAATCGGGTCACACGAACGTTCAAGGTTAGCTTACATTCAGTACAATCTAACAAACACACAAAAAGAATGCAGGAGAAAGGTGAAATCCTGCTCCAGGTTCCCTTTGGGTCTCCACATTCGAACACGGAATGTTAAATTGCATCCTAATCAGCTCAAACTGAGTGGCAGGGCAGAGACGCTCACCTTTTTACACATGGGCAGTCCATTTACAAACAGAGAAATTATTCTAAACTCAGTGTCCTTAAGAAAATCTACACATTGATGCATAATAAAATAAATAGAAAAGTTTGAATGAGAACAGCACTTAGCAATAGCACTTAGACTTATATACCGCTTCATAGTGCTTTACAGCCTTCTCTAAGCGGTTTACTGAGTCAGCCTGTTGCCCCCAACAATCTGGGTCCTCATTTTACCCACCTCGGAAGGATGGAAGGCTGAGTCAACCTTGAGCCTGGTGAGATTCGATCTGCCAAACTGCTGGCAGCCGATGATCAGCAGAAGTAGCCTGCAGTACTGCACTCTAACCACTGTGCCAACGCGGCTCATGAATGTGTCACACATCAGGCATAAACTGGTGAGCATAAGTTTTCGTTCATTTCTTTCCTCCCAAGCTGCAATACTATTGGAAAAAGTGCTTCACTGGAACCAGCTTTCCTTCTTTAGTAAAATGGTAATGATATTTTATTTTTGATAATTTAATCAAGCCAGTGTGCTCACTAACCAGGATTATAAATCGGTATTTAATCTGCACTAGAACATGTCCACGTATATATATGCTAAAGTATACTAATCTTTTCCATTTATCAAAGTGTATGAGTTCCATTATAGATTTTCTGAGCACTCTTATTAATCTAAGAATTTGTATTTTCTGCTTTCAAATTTTAACTTTTTATCAGTCCTGCAACACTGGAATATTAACCTACTTGGCCATCTTGCTGCTAATTTTAATTCCTGTTCATTTAAGAACACGTTACAAAATGTTGGCCATAGTAGAGGCTATGATAAGAAATTAATCTGATGGATAGGTTATACATTTCTTTTATAAATGCATTAGTCATTAGATAGATTACTTTCAATGCTTTAAATTAAATATTAAATATTCACCATCCTAAAATGGTGATCTGTTCATTTTTAGTTTGTTGGTAGGACGATCTAGAACAGTGATGGCGAACTTTGTAGACATTGAGTGCCCAAACTGCACGTGCGCGTACCCAAACTGAAAGATGTATGCATGCCCGTAGATGCGCGCATTTGCCAGCATGCACATGCATGCACACATGCGCAGCAGAGATCAAAGACCAGCTGGCCAGCAGGAGGCAGCGCATCTCAACACTGGCAGCACGGCAAGAGGTGAGATCTTTTTCTTTTGTGAGCTTCTGTTTCATCATTTGCAGGTAAACAGAAGCTCACGAAAGAAACGCCACGGAGATCTGACCCGGGGTGATGCATAGGTTCGCCATCATGGGTCTAGAATATAGATCTTATGTTGTGTCCTTGAAGAACCCTGTTCTATACATTTATTTCCTGGAAATAAATGTAAGTTTAATTGTAAGTTTCTGACCTACAAAGTTCATGGAGAAAAGTGATGCAGAAAATTTGTTCAGCTTTTTCGCAGTGTTATTGTCTTTCAATTGAACACCTTTTTAATACTGTGTAATAAATGTGTAACAACGTGATATAAAGTCTAACGATCTCTCTGCATGATTTTGAAATATTTTTTAAAAAATTAACGCTCTCAATGTTTTTCATATCTGTCATACTTTGATGAGTCTTTACTCGGCATTAACTTCTCATTAAATAATGTAGCAAGGGAGCCTTCTCAGGTGAACTAAAAAAGGCTCACCATTGGAAAACTCTGTACTTTATACCCAATCACTGAATCTATAATGTGGAAGTTTTAAAAAGTATTCTGATGAACTACTGCCTATCTTTTTAGTGTGTAAATCAAAGAACACAAATTTTGCAACCTCTTTATTTGCATAATAGTCCCTGAAAAGTATGCTGACTTCTTCAAAATTGTCTGTAATTATGGTCTACGTGTTTATTTACCCAGTGTTTTTTACATTGAACTTATTTATTGGGAATCTACTTTGATGAAGCCTTCTGAAGTTTAGACCTACCCAGACATGGGGGTCAGTATGTCAGTTAGAACTTGTGAAGTGGTTATGTTGATAGTTGTGGGTTCTTTTTTAAAAAAAATCTCACTTGTTGGTTATGTATTTTTTTTTCTTGTTATGCTACATTTTTAATTGTTATTAGCTGCCCAGAGTCACTATGGTGAGATAGGTGGTCAAATACATTGAATAATATAAAAAATTAAATAAATATATACATACACTCTTCCTTCGATACAATCAAACAATCTAACAGTTTAGAAAACATAAAACAATCTAATAATTACATTATTAAACGAGAATCAGCACTAGCAATAATCTCCATATGTTTTCTATTTATTTCATATTTTAAAAGCATCTCACCCTGTACCATAAACTCTTCCTCCGGCAATGAATGAAAAATATTCAGAGATATAGCTAACATGGCACAAATGACAACAGCATACTTTCCAAAGTAATCCATGTTGTTCCTATAAAAAAGAGAAAAACAGTGGACTTTCTGCCTCCAAGCAAGCTTTCATTAATTTCTGTTGATTAAATTGATTTACATGTACTGTAGATACAAATTCAATTTATTAAGACATACGTTGATTAATAGGAATTTAAACCCAGGGAGCCACCAGATCTCAGCTGCAAAAATCTAGAATTATCTCCAAATGGTTGCAAAAGGACATAGGAAATACTTTCTTTGCTCCATGAAGTGTCTGTTTGTAGTCCAGATCTGACTGCCTAAAGCTTAGTTTAGGATCACAAATTTTAATCTGGTTTCTGAATTTTGAATTCTGAATTGGGTACAACTGTGAGCGTTATTTAAAAAATACAGTACTGTACTCTTTCAAGAGACATTCATATAGAGGTTGTAATCTACACATACTTACCAAGGAAACTGAATTGAAGAGCGTTATGTTAAACCTAGGATTCTACTGTTAGAAATCATCTCATTCAAGATGCAACATTGGTTAGCCCGAATTGAACCAATCAAACTCTCATTTAAAGAGAGTTGTCTGTACTGTACTGTATACAGAGTACTGTACTCTTTCAAGAGACATTCATATAGAGGTTGTAATCTACACATACTTACCAAGGAAACTGAATTGAAGAGCGTTATGTCTAAACCTAGGATTCTACTGTTAGAAATCATCTCATTCAAGATGCAACAGTGGTTAGCCCGAATTGAACCAATCAAACTCTCATTTAAAGAGAGTTGTCTGTTAACAAGGGTGCACTGCATAATCAACTAAAATAAGCTATTCTGTAAGTAGACAGAGAAATGGGTAGCAGTTGGGTTAGTTTGGGTTCTGAGATTAGAAGAGCAGGGTAGATCTGATCAGTGATGGACAGAGTTGGAGCAAGCAAGTAATCGGCCATTTTCAGACAGAGCGTTGGCTGCATTAGAAGGTTAGACTGTGCTGGGATGCCAGGGTTGCTGAGTGATGCATCTGGAGATAGGCCAGATGAACAGGTCAGAGGAAGATATACTAAGCCACTTTTGGGAATGTACGTGGATTGCTCCCTTTTGTGCTGTGGTTCAGTATCATCTGTTGGAGTAATTCAGAGCCACTTGCCAGATGTTGTTTGCTATATCTCCATGTTTGCTGCATTCCCAAACTTCTTTTGTCAGTGTCTTCTACTCTGCAGACTGAGCCAAGCAAGATAAGTTCCTTCTGTGTGTCTATGTGTCTGTGTATGTTTGTAAGGTGGATGCTGGATACACGGAAGGTGCTGAGAGCCAATGGAGTGAAATGCTTTGGGGTGCCTGGCTTTCCCTCCCTGGAATGGATGTAATTAATAGTTATGGAAGATCCTGGGCCTTGAGAACTGGGGGGCCTGGAGGGGAGATGATGCAGTGTTTGGTAGTATTATAATGGTGATAGACCAGGGGTGAAATTAAAAAATTTCCCCTACCGGTTCTGTGGGCGTGGCTTGTTGGGGGAGGTCATGTGACTAGGTGGGCGTGGCCAACTCGACATCACTCACATCGAGGGGCTCCTCACTGGCCCCTCCCCTCTGCTCCCAGCCACTCCTTGTCGCGAATGGCAGGAAAATGGGGAGGGGAATATTCCTGTCTACCATCCTTCCCTCAGTCTGTGCTGAGATTGAGGAATGGATGACAGGCAGGAAAATCCCCTTCCCCATTTTCCTGCCTTTCACAAAAATGGCTCCATTCCAGCTGCTCCCCACCCCGTGCCCCCCTCTCTCCTGGGGACTACCTTAAAAGGGACAGACTGCAACAGCACCATTCTGAATGGAGGGAGAAAAGTTAGCATTCTCTCTGCTGCATTTCACATTAAATTCTGTGGCAGAGAGAATGCTAACTTTTCTCCCTCCGTTCACAACGGAGCTGCTTGTCCCTTTATGGTTGCCTCCTGGCCCCCTCCCTCCTGGGGACTACCTTAAAGGGACAGGCTGCAGCAGTTCCGTTCTGAATGGAGGGAGAAAAATTAGCATTCTCTCTGCTGCATTTAACATTGAATTCTGTGGAATATTGAGCGGCCAGAAGAGGTGAGCAGTGACCTGCTGGGCGTGGGTGGGCCAAGGAGGGGTAATTACTACCGGTTTGGCGAACTGATGCCCATAATCCCTAGCAGTTCGCCCGAACCGGTCCGAACCAGTGTGATTTCACCCCTGTGATAGACATGGAAATATATGGTGAAAGATGGGCAGGCAAAATGGGCAAAATCCTGGGGAAGATGGGACCCATGCTTTATACAGGTCTTTGTTTCCAGTGTCTTGGTCTCATCTCCTGAAATCCAGACAACAAACCTTCAGCAAACCTGGCTTCTGGCTACTGCTTTTAATTACTAGATCATCTCTAATAAGGCCTCCCTTATCTGTGGATGTGGATGAAAGAGCTGATCTAGCATGTATGTGTCCAGAAGGGAAGATGGCCCTTTCAGAGATAAGTCCAGCCGGGTTTCAAGTGTGGCATCAGCTGAGAACCCAGAGAAGGGGTGATGGTGAACCTGTGAGACCTTCCTTATTATGCTGGGTTCCAGGGATCAGTTCAGATTGTTGCTGTTGTATCAAAACCTTCCTGCTGCACAGCAACTTTCCTGCCTGAGTTCCTTGAGTCCGTTTCTGGGTTGGTGATGGAATTCCACAGACTTATGTTATTGGGGAACTTCAATTAACTATCTCAGGGAGTGGGCTATGAAATAGCTCAGGAGTTCATAGTCTGATGTGCCTATCCCAGGTCATCCAGAACTTGACATGGAACAGTGATCACACATCAGATTTGGTGTTCCTGTCAGAGCAGTGGCTATGTAATCTTCAATTGGGAAAACTTTTAGGATTCTTTTGTTTATGGTCAGATCATGACCTAATTACTACGAGATTCTCTGGCAATCTGATCTCCTGCACATTGGTCCGCTCTGGCAAGTGATGGACCAGAAAGGTTTTAGAGTGAAAGGGGGGGGGTTATTCCTACTGGTCTGCTACACAATGCTTCTGAAGCCTTGGTTGCACTTAGAACAAAGGGGTGGAATAGTTGCATCTCACTGATCTGTGCAGCACCTCCCCTGCACCCTTGTGCAACCCGTCACTCTCTCCCCCACCCAACAGCAGCCACTTACCTGCCTGCTAGGCTGGAACTTCCAGCTTCCTGTTGGCTTCCCCATTTAATTTTCCTGTGGGAAGTTGGCTGGGAAGTTGGAAATGACAATCACATGACTGTAGCTCACTGTGGCAGCCTGAAGCAGCTACAAATTTTGCCAAATTTCAATCTCATGGTAGTCATAGGTTTCAGATTTTAGATAGATTCGTTAAGTTAGCCCATTTTGAGGCACCTTGGTTGAAAAATTGTTGCCCTATGATGTACCTTCACTCAATTAAAGCTTACAAAGAATCAAGCAGACATGAGGGTTGTAGTAGTATGTAGATACAAAAGAAACTGGCTGAAGTTCTAAAAATTAAAAAGAAATACAAATGACAAACCAAATGTTTTCTTACTGGATCTACAGAAAGGCTTGTTAAATCCTTGAAGAAATTTGCATGAGAAGATAAAGAATTGAAAAGAAATCCTATGGCAAAATTTGAATGAAAGATGAAGACTTGTTAGAAGTGAAAGGAAAGACTATAAAGTTGATTTATTTGATCAAAGTTACAATAAGACATTTATTTACAAAGTTGTGGTAATCCTTTATGAACTTTTTGTTGACATTAGGATTGAAAAGTTGATGTCTTATGAATTTCCTTATGGCTAAGGAATGAGATGTGAGATCTTTGTAACCTTAAGGGAAGTAAAAAATTGCTAAATTTGTTAATAATTGTTACAGTGAAGGTTGGAAGTCACTTCTTTATATATTTCTTTTTCGTTATTATATTCTTTATTTTTGTTTTTTTCTTTTTTCTTACACTTTACTCTTTCTTGTTATTCTTTTTTCTTTCTTTAAATTTAGTTTTTGTTTTACTGTTATAATAAAAATCCTTAATAAAATTATATACCAATAATTGACCAAATAAACTAGCAAAATGGAAGTGCTTTTGCAATGACAAATTGTTACTCTTTCTAAAACGAAAACAAAAAACCTGCAACTGGTAGAGATATTGAATTTATTTCTTATTTCTTGATTTGTAATGTGAATATTTAAGGTTGCTCTCTTGGATACAGTAAGTGTCCACTTAAAGCGTCATCTGAAAGCTCTAAATTTCCTCTTGCTTTTGCATCTCAAATGAAAGCCCTTAATTTGCAATTGCAATTAAGCCATGACAAGAGTTGCACCTATTTGATCTACCTATATTTGACACACTTCATGCATTAAGTATCCATACCTAAATTAGGAAAGAATGCAGAAGTTATTGACTACTAGTTGAATCTGCAAATCTTTCCTGAACATTTCTAGGTGGAAACCACTTTTGGTCTTTGTGGGGGAGAAAAACGAAAATTTGATTTTAGGTTTTGCTGATTAGATAGGTGTGTTGCTATAGAAATGGCTAGTGTATATTATCATATAAAAGTCAAAAGTTGAGGTTTTATGTTACTACCTATTCTTCTGCACCAAATGGCGTCGGAAGTCAATGTTTTTGCTTTTCCCCCTTTCCCCTACACTTTTTTCTCTTCCCCCTTTCCTCCCTTATTTTCCCATTATCTTCATTTTGCTTTGTATTTCTGTATTTTATATTTTGATAAACTAATACAAATATTTAAACTGCAGATTTTTCCTGGTCACAAATTGATTCCACCTAGAGTTCTTCCACATTACTAGCATTTAGACCCTTTGAGATTATCTTCAGTTCTGTCCATTTAGAAATGCAGAAATATAATGGATCAATTGTTACTAATCCTTTTTTATTCACTCTTTAAGAGGAGAATGAATAGAAAACCATCCAATCCAGGCCTCACCCATAAATTACCCCAGAATAATAATTCAATTCATATAAAAAAAGAAAAAACATAGCTTTTGAACGCCACCTCACCTGGTGGTTTCAGAATGTATATTTGTGTTCATTTGGCTTCTGGTTTACAAATAAAATCTAAGCAGTTGCTATGGTAGGAACGTATGTGAAATAATGTGAGTTACAAGCATTGCAATCCCACAAATGTTTCCTGGCGTGCCTTCCATTCATTGTTGAATTAAGAACCCTTGTGAATGTGCAATGATAAAATATCAGCAACTTGGGTACTTTTATCATGGTTATATGCTGTTAAGAGCAGCTGCATTGGAAAAAATAGGGGAGATACATTCTAAATTATGAAGCGCAGGCACAATACAGATATTTTGAAGTGCCAAAATCCAAAAGTAGTTGAGTCGAGGCCAGAGGTTCTTAGGAAAATATATAACCTACAAAATCTGTAGAAATATTATGATTCAATGGCAAATGTTAAATTGATACAAGGCCAGAAATAAATCAACAAGCTCCCCAAAAGAAATGTATTCTAATAACAATCAAATTCATACCTGATCAGAAAGTAACGCAAACCACTCAATGTGCCCCTTGCGAACCAAAGCATCTCACTACAAAATGACGTTCTTACCTATTTCTTGTTGTAGCATTTTGCACTTCTCAAAAAAGTGCTTCACAAACCTAATTAGCTGCAACAGGGTAAAGGAGTGGAAGGTCCTTTCTTTTGCAAGTGGGAGTGCCTCTTGTTTGTTCTCTTGGATTCAAATCAGTGAGAAGAGGGGCTGCATACCTACTGTTTGGGCATATTATATGGGGCACACTGTGCATGAGGATCCAAAGAAAATAAATGCAAAAAGGATTCCAACCTAGAAGAGCACTCTCTCAACACAAAATAAAACTATATTAACATCCCGCTAACAGTGCACACAAACACCAGTTTTGAGATAGTATTACCATATTCAGGTTTTTACATCTTAGAAATGCTCGGATGCTTGCAAAAGGTTATTGAAACTGAATGGAAGTCAAGGGGGAAACTTTGTGGGCACAAGGGCACTTTTGGCAATGTATCTATGACATACTAATTTAGTAAGAAAAAGCAGCAGTTTTTCAGTTTTAGCCATATGAGAAGTTACAAACATTTGCTCATTTGATATTCTAAATAAACCAACAATACATATATTTATAAAAAATAATAAAGGCAGGATAAAATAAATGAATAAATTAGAGATAGGGAGATACTGTACAGTTAACAAATAATATTACCTTTCTTTTTTCACAAGAGTCCTGTTGTTTAAGAGTATGAAAGAGAGTTTTGGATGCTTAGCTGCAGCTTGTCTGGCAAAACTAGGAAAGGCTAATCCCTGTGCTTTTCTTTTATACTGGCAAAATGGTCCATCTTCCACCCACACTTAAGCCAATGGATCAACTGTAATTTTACTCAATAGCTCAATATTGCTTGATGTAATTACTATTCTGCCATATACTGATGTTATCTCTTTCTTTACCCTTAAACAGATTGCTTTTTCAATTGTCATATTAAAGAAACATCAGATGGTAAACGCATGGATCAATGCCATTTGCTTGTAGGAGGAGAGCTGTTTTAGTCCAAAATTAGAAGGAGTCTGGTAGTCCTTTTTCAAACTAACCCATTTTATTAAAAGTCACAAGCGATTTATCAGATTAAATTGCTCATATCTATGCCTTTTAAAACAGTTACAATTAGTTACAGTAGTATGAAAAAATTCTATCAGACTCCTCTTGGTATTTACCATGTAAATTACTCTGTCATTGTTAACTACACTTCATTGCCATGTTTTTTAAAAGCTGCTGTCATAAAACAAAAATAAAGACTGTTTTATTGAACAAATTTCCTACAGCTTTTTAAATGTCCTAATTTTCCTTTTTTCCCCCCTATGAATCTTTTTCCTGTCAATAAAAGCCAATAGAGATTAGTAAGAAAGATACATTAATTTGCACATTATTTTACACAATACTGCTTCTATGTATGTCTGTTTACTCTGCACTATTTTCTTTCTATCTGCAGTTTCTCAGATTCTTTATTTTGGATTGATTTACAATGATTTATGTTTCAAGCACACAGCCATCAACCCCACAACATACAATGCTACAAATTCCACAAAAGTTCAGAACAAAATTACACTTCTAATATTTTAATCACAGTTAAGACATTTAGATGTCTTCTTTTCTCTCTGTGCAATATGAATTCCCTTTTGCTTGGATTTTGAGTAAGAGATAATTTTGTTACTATCTTATTTCTGAACATTTCCACAGACACTGAATATGCACGTTAACTGTTTAGCTTCTCCAATAACCTAAGCTGAAGCTGAAAAACCTAAGCTGAAACTGAAAAAGTAATCAAACAATTAATCAACTATGCAAAATTTTGACCAGTGATGCTGTGCCCACTGTGTACTATATGGTCTCCTTGTGATGTAGATTCCAGTATTGTTATACTGGCAGTTAATATATTGAATTATTGTTGTTTTCTAATATCTCTAGGTAAATATATTTGGAGTGTCCAAAATTATGGACTCTTTAGAACTTATTCTGAATAGATAGCTATTATTTGTTGCCTAATTTTTTGACATTAATGAAGATGGGAGCAGGTAGATGAAGATTTATAATCAAGCAGGAGTGATCTGTGATGATTGGAACCTGTGTGCATTAACAGATTAAAAATTTAGGCTTTTATATAAACTAGACTTTATAGTGCTATATGTTGCATAATATACATGATCATTCAAGTGTTATTATAAAGTAAATGGACTTTGTCATGTTTTTTGGCGACAGTTGCATTTTGGAAAACTGTCATCTTACTAATAGAAAAATATCCAATGGAGATCCTGTATTGTCCATATTAATATCAAGGTTTACTCAACCACCATACAATTTAAGATAATTACATTTTCTGGGCATATCATTTTTTACTTAATTTCATTATATCTAAATTGTGCTTCCCCTCAGAATTTAAAGGACTTATTTTTATCCTTGAATCAATGCAATGAAACAGATTATGCTGAAAGACAATAACTGATTCAATGTCATCAAGGAATAGAAAAGGTCATTGGTTAATCAAGCTCTCCAACAAAATGTCAAGGGCAAATCCTTTATATCTTTCGGGGCATCACTCTTCTTTCCTGTTTGATTTATATCACTTAGGCAATGACTGTAATTCTTTCTCTTTGTGTTTGTGTGCATATCTGTTTCCTGCGCCACTGTATTTTTTAAAATTTTCATTATTCATTGTTTTATCATCAAAAGTAAAATACAAAACAGAAAAACAAACAAACAAGATGAAACAAAAGCATACATTCAACCCTTACGATAACAAAGAAAAAAATGGTGTACAAAAAAGAGGAAAAAGTAATAAAATAAATTCAACATTTAAGATATATTTAAATAATTTTAAATAAATTTGAATTTTATATACACACACATATATACACATACACATATACACACACACACACACACACACACACACACACACACACATATATATGGAAGGAAGAAGAAAAAAGAAAAAGCAGTCAACAGATTACACTAATCTTCAAATTTTTGTTAACCATTTGTTATTTAGCACGTAGAAAGTCCACATACAGTTTCCAGTCTCTTATAAAGCTGTCTAGTCTATTATCTCTAATAATAACCAGTTAACTTCGCCATCTCTGCTAATTCAGTCAGTTTCAAAATCCATTCTTCAATGTGTGCCACTGTATTGTTGATTTAAATATTAAATTTTTGCTTCTGTTTTGTACCACTAACAAACTACTAGTCTTTTGCTTCCAGGATAGCATATTCATGTCAGTTTCCCCTGACTGCTGTAAATCTCCAAGTTTTCAATTTTACATTATTTAACTAGTATGCTAAACTTGCATTCAGCAGAAGTCTCTCAGAACTTCAACATAGCATAGCTAGTGGGCTACAACCATATTAAAAAAAATATTGCCCTTTGTTAGCATGAGGATGTAGTTGCCTCATTTTATCTACAGCAGTTTAAACCTGCTGTCTTTGCATTTTCAAAATTCTCTATCCTGTGCTCCATGGCCCTAAAGCCAAGCAGTTTTGGTTTTTGACATAAGAGGCAGTTCTGCCAGGAGAATCTCTGCTTTAACACTCACAATTTCCTTTAAATTATTAATTTAATAGTAATTTAACAATTACTATTAATTGTTCCTGATAATTGCTGCATGAATATAGCTCTAATTAATATATTGGTGTAGGCAAATGTATGTGTTATATTGGGTGCAGAACAGAGGGTCCGCTACAACCTGTTTGGCCCTGAGCCCATCTTGGTCTGGATCTAGTCTAGTTATATGCATGGATACACTCAGTCAAAACACTATTTTTCAGCACAAGGTAATGTAAATATTAATCAATTCAGTACAATTAAATCTTGACTGCTGCATATAATTGGTTGCGTTTTCCTTATATTTTTCAAATCACAAAATGTACCACATTCGAGCAATCTATACCTATCACTGATGCTCTGGAAAATGGCAAGCCTTTACATGCAGGTTTACATCACAGGATTTCAAGACAAAGATATTATCTCTCCATATCAAATTATATATATATATATTGCCCAATTACAGTTGGCCTTTTATAGCAAGCTTGAAAAAATAACATCTTTCTTAATATATTTATACTCTTTCCTTCTATTTATTTATGTAATATGACTTTGACATTGCTCCATCCAGAATGACTTTGGACACTTACAGCATAAAAAAAAAGTATGAAAAAAAATGAACAAAATAGCAAATCGGGGGTAGACTTAACATTTTTGTGGAAATGGGGTGATGCAAGTTAGTAGGGCTTGCAGACATTGAACACAGTCAGGCTTTTTCCTTTTTTGAGAGGAATTTTGGAATGTTTCTGAGTTTTTAAAAAATAAAGCTTAGTTTAGGGTCCATACAAACATGTTTTCTATCTCAAAATGGTGAGTTTTAATATTTGTAGTGGGAAAAGGATAAACATACGGTATATTCTTTTGACTTGGAAATCAACAGTACATAAATTTAGAATGAAGAACATGTAGTGATTACAATCAATGTTTTGTCACTCATCTCCTTAGCTAAAAGAACTTAAATTAATTTTAGAAGTGCATTATTTTTAAAAATCATTTTGTTAAAAAAGCCATTACTTAATCTAGAATGTTATTGCATATATAGCTTTTCATTTGCACTCCTAGTAATTTTGTTTTGCTCTGTTCCACTCAATTCAATATCCTTGTAACTGGCAATATAGCATTAGTTTGCAATCAATGAAAGAACAGCAGGGATCCTCTGAAGTCTTCGAGCTTGTAATATTAATTAGATGGAAAATAAAAAGGAAATTTCTGTGAACAATAATGCGGCAGTAAAAATGTCATAGCAACAGCCATTTTTATCTTTCATATGCATTTTTATTATGCACATTTACTGTGAATTGGGAAAAACAATTTAAAAAATCTGGAACATAAGATTAAGTTCTACTCACTCAGACTATAAATGTATTTGTAGTAATTTTAATATGCCATAGAAAACTAAGGTCTTAGAAATAATATTCTAGAATTTCAGCACGTTTAACTCTTTTCCATTTTTATTTATTTTCTCATAGAACCTCAGACTATATGCTGTGATTAGATAACATTCATGGTTATAAATAATTCAGCTGTTTTGCATATGCTAATTTTTATTTTATTATTATTAAAAGAATAGCGCTTAATGCACTATGCAATTCTATCCAGTATCAGTCATGAATCCCACAATTCATCTCTTCTGTTTAATTAGGAGTCACCTCATCATGGTGTGAAATGATGATTAGGAATGTGAGAAAATTTGCATTCTGGGAAAAGATGTAGCAATGTGCAGTTTTCCAACCCCATACATCACAACGGAGGACCAAAACTATTCCCTTACCCCAAACTCCTGCTTACAGGATCTGCTCTCCTTGTTTAACCATTTGAGCAGAATTTAGTCTGATTTGGAAGAGTTGTGCTCCCTCTAGCAAGCTCAGATTTATGCCTCAGAATTATTTGAAGGTTCAATTAGCTTCTAGGGCTCCTGGCACTTTATCAGTTACTTTGGGCTACATCCTCACTTGCACAAGTAGGGATGGAAATTTGATAAGGCGCAGTTTGACATATCTGGAATTCATCAGAGTGGAGAAATTTGGAGTCAATGAGGTCCTGTTTTGGGTAATCCTCCCAAACAAAATGTAGACAACAGGTCTTCTAGTTCACATTGAGTCCAGTCCAGAATTCTACCTGAATATTTAAAGAATGGATTTGCTCGGTTGTTAATCAACCTGATAGTACTTCCTCCACTAAATTTGGACTTTAAGATCTTCTT